TACCCAACTAAGAAGGAAGATAACCCTCAGTTCTTAGTGGGGATTATAAAAAGAGTGTAAATACAAAATGTAACTACTTTACAAACGTTTCATAAGAAGCCTTCTCCCTCCCCTTTGGTAAAAGGACTTTTTTAATATCTAAAATTCATTTGAATGTAGGATTACCAATTCCTTATATATTGTGTGTCCATAATTCTGCTTTATTCATACTGCATATGTGGATTGCTATATAATTTCAAGGAAAACAAACAAACAAACCACCACCACCACCATTCTGTTTTCTCTTCTATGTAAGTCTAAATGCTTTCTTTTATCTGTTCCCATATATATCTGGAATGCCATCCTCAAACCACCCTCAAAACAATACAAATAATTAGATTCCAAATTCCAAGTTTGCCACTTGTTCCCTTTCCCTAGTGGACAATACAGGAGCACTACAAGAGTACCAGGGCAATAGTATCTGGCAACAGCTTTAAGTCTCAGGCATCAGGAATCAGATAGGTAGAAAGAACAGCTTTTAAAGTCATTCTATATATTTTAGAAAATTAAATGAATTTTCAGAATTTTCCCTTTCTCATTCTGTTGTACAGGGCTCACACTGCCATTCTTTTGCCTTTGCAACTGCAAACCCCGCTGTTCTCGGTATGACAAATTCTTATGGAAGACACTGTAATGAGCACAAGACTTGCACTTACCAGTTTTGTTGTTCAGTTTAGCTTAGAACAAAGCAGGGAATGACAAAGTAGGTAACAGTTATTTAGAGAAACATGATACAACAACATACATGCACAAATCTCCAACCAGTCAGTGTGCAACATCTGCTCCTGATTACTGCAGGCTCCATTTAGTGTTACCTACATCATTATATCAATATCACTAATATTATCAAGCAGGAAGTCTTGTAGACAACTACATATTTACTATGGGAAAATTATCACAGGAGGGATCACAGGCTGCACTGGATGCTCAGGCTGGACATTTGTTTCAGATATTGTCACTTCCCTTCTTGTCTGGTCATAGGGGAGAGCTCTTTCACTTCCCTCTCCCTTTTCTCTCCACCTTCCACACCATTTTCTCTCCTTTTCTTTTCCTTGTAAATTGTTTTTTACCATAATCTCTGAATATTTGCGTACATCAACAACCCTTTCTACACCTCACTGTAACTTTCCCCTATGTTCTTCTAAATTGCAGCTTTTCTAGTTGCAACTCATATCAGTTTTCTCATCCTAACATCTGAGAATGGTGTGGCTACATATTTTCCTCACTCTGTGGATATTTCTATAATTAAAGAAGTACATCTATTGCTATTCCAAATGCCTCTACAATTATTATTTTTTTTTAATCAGGAGAAAAATAGTTCAGTCTTCTGGAAATTATACCCCAGAAACAAAATTGCTGAATTAAGTCCAACTTAAATAAGACAACTAAATACTAGTGTATATTTCTCATATTACCGTGATCTTCACAATCCTGAGATAACTTTGTCCAGGGAGTTCAGCTATAGCATTCGTAGAGAACAATGAGATGATAAAAGTTTTCAAAGCTCCAAGTGTCTGCCTCCATATCTGGCCATCCTTAGAATTTACACTCTTCTTGGCCGTTGTGTTATTTTAAATTTATTTTTAGGTTTATGTATTTAAAAGTGAATGAACATAAAATGCCTTCTATTAGATGAGGTGATGGTAACATTTGTGTACATGTAAACAATTGCTGTATCTGATTTCAGAGAGAAACCACAGAGCATTAGAAAAGACATGGTTAATGCTTAACTTTTTAACTTTGAACACGCCTGCATTATATAAAATCCAACACTTCTTTCCATGTTGTTTAAACAAAAATATATCTGATGTTATGCTAAGTAAGTTCTGTCCATCATGCAGTTCAAAATTACCATTCATTGATGTAGAAATGATTGAGAGATACTTAGGAAAGGAGGAAGAAAAATATTATTAATAGATATCTAACAATAAATGTGCAGTAGCCAAGCTGATTTACTAAATAGAACAGTGCCCTCCTGTAGCAATATGCTATGACCCTAGTAATAAACACAGCAGTTGCTTACAGGGGCAGCAACTTTGACAGTATGGACTCATCATAGTGGGAGCCAAATAGCTACCATTAGGATTTTTGTTTTGAGGCTCTAACTGACCCCCTGCATAGCTTTGATCACATTCATTTCTTTCTATTTCAGTTACCCAACACAGCTTTCAGCTACAAAGCATTTCTTAAAACACGAAGTATTTCTTAAAATACCATGAGTTACAAAACCTGGGAACAGTGCATAAATGCAGTCTCCCACTACTGAAATATTAGCAGGAATGTCTCTAGAAATGCATCCTATATTTTAAATGTGGAACAAATTTGAGGCAGACTGAATTATTCACATTAAAATACAAAACCTATGCATATGCATTTCATGTGGAATTTCTCATATGGAACCAACAACCATCTGAGAGATAAAATGAAATTATTGCCCTAAACATGCAGAGGTTCTCAGCCAAGTAGAGAAGCCAACCCAGCAATGATACAGTTGAAACCATTTATTGAAAAGAAGTACAGACAAGGAGGAATCTTAAGTTATAACCACTTTCTGAACCATGAGTGAAAAGGAGATGGTTGAGCCCAAGAATGCTAAATCAGGAAGTGCTTGTGGTTAAAAACAGAAGCAACCACATGAATCAGAGGTTTTAGGAGACAGCTAAACGACTGATTGAAAAAAAAAAAATCAAAGAACAGAAAAAAATAAGGAGGATTAAAAGGCCCCAAAGGATCTGTGTGCACTTGAATCTGATTTCAGGAGAAAAGTAAAACTGAAGTAACTAAAGATTTAGACATCTTTTAATGTAAAAACTTTCTTGTCATTAAAAAAAAAAAAAAAAAATACATCTCAGTTTGGTCTAATTCCACCATCTGGAAGCGCTCTCTTAAGCAAACAAGTTTCCTTTTTCTTTCTTTCTTTTTTATTTTTTCTCTCTACACACCCACAAAAAGATCTCATAAAGACAAACTGCTTTACATAATTCCCTGGAGACTCTTTGAGCTACTGTAGGTAACCTGTAATGCTCCTGTCACATGGTAACAAGAATTTAATACAAATATAAAAATTAGTAATATTTCAATATTAAGCAGAAGGGGAAAAGTAGCTTTAATTATCCTACATATGTTTGCATTGAAAATGAAAGGAAATATTTCCTACATATAAAACATGTTGTGATAGTGAGGAAATTATGGGCCTAAATCCTAAACTGTTGTCTCACCTCTTACCTTCTAGTGAGTGAACTTTTTTATGCTAAAATCTTTCCTTACGAAGTATTGCTGTGAAGGAAAACAACACAAAACAGAACACGATTCTAACCTGACCTTTCCATCAGTACAGCACAAACAATCCACAACACCTTTTGTCTGAAAGTAGATCAAAGCACTCAGAAGTACTGTTAATTTGTGGGAACATAACACATCTGCAGATGATTAAAGAGATGCTGCCACTTGCTATTTGAAATGAAGAATTTGCTGCTCATACTTTAAAGAACTCTTTCCTTTCAATCCAATCAGTAAGACTAAAGGTCTTTAAAAGCGTTTGAACGGCTTGGGAGGAGGGAGCCCCCTGCCAAAATATGGAGAACTCCAGCTTTGAAGCTGCAAGCACATGCATCACGTTGATTTTTACATCCAGTTTGCTCTGCTAATAAGTGAGGAAATGAGAATTGCCTACTTTTTATATGAAACTGACCTCTATTTGGCTGTAAGAAAAATCGCAGTTTGGGTTTCTTATTCCTTTTGTTTAGTTAATTTATTGAATAAATTTGTTGGGGATGGGAGGGAGCATGATAGCAAAAAAAGATTTCCTCTACATCAGCTTGATTTTCTGAAGAGAACAACAAGTATGAGAATTTCACTGTAAGAACGGATGAACTCTAGAACAACATCTCAGGGAGTCTGGAAGCTGTTCTAATGCTGAAGAATAATTTCTGTGATACCTGCATGAATAGGTGTAGCTATTGTAGCTATATGTAGGCAGAGAGGGAATTCAACTGTTTCCTTCAAAAAATGCAGACATCCTTGGATAGATCTATCTCTGCACAATTATGATGTAGATTTAGAGTAGAGGTGGGGTTGGATTATTGATTTCTAAAGCCTTTGCCACTATCTCTCCATGGAGGTACACCTTGTTCTAACAAGTAGCACATCTGCAGAGGAGATACAATAACAGTGATCCAAAGCCAAAACTGGACTATAAATAATTTTGGGGCGGTGGAAGTCCCTAGAAAAACTTTGGGCTCAATGAAATAGAGCATATTATTGTATGCTTTTATTCCCTGTGATAAATATTCTTGGTACATTTTCAACAATATAGATTGGAGAGACAAAACAAACATAGGTAAGAGAACAAACAATTTTTCTATCGTACAATTTCTTCCTTTCCTTAAAATAAGAACTAAGTGAAATGTGTCAAGAAAGAAAATAATTCAATTTTACAGACTAATGCAATTAAGGTTAGTAATAACAAGCTACAGTCTATGGTCTTAGGAAAGTGAATGCAACAAAATTGTTATCTTTGCATTTAATGACTGTAGATTTTAGCATGTTATTAGCAACCTGAAGGACAGTTTTATCAAAACTCAGAGGTAACTCATTTCAGATTTCCAGGACCATAGCAGACATAACCAGAATCAGCTTAGCAGCTCTGCTCTACTTAAGGATATCTTAACTCAAGGATAGACATTTCAAAGCAACTTTGAAAAATTTTGTCCTTAAATACCAGAAAATATCTAAGAAACTGAACATGTTTCTGTCAAAGGTAAGTATTTATTTAAGAGGCAGACCATTTGTTTCTGTTTTCAGCGTTTAACTTGCTTGACATGGCTTAACATCTACTAGCTAAAGTGTAAATAAAAATGCTAAAAATCAATAAAAATAGAAGAAAAATATAATTTTAGCTATTACTTATGAAAGCAGGTATATGCTTATTTGCATTTAAACTTTTTTCTCTTCTATTACAGTGATTCGAGCAAAAATATCCAGTGAAAAAGTGGTTCCTGCCAGTGATGATCCTCTCGATACCCACAAAATGATCCGGTATGAAATCAAACAAATAAAGGTACATGGAATCACTCAGCTAATTTGAAGTTCAGTACTGATAATCTCTGTATATTGCTACAATTTAGTTCAATATGCTTAAAGCTGGAAAAGGATCCAGTTGGTTTCAAGGATGGACGTAGGTGAACTACACAGAATTAAGAGTAGGGTTGAAAAAAAAAGGAAAAAAAGAGATAACATGAATATCAGAGAAGCATCTACTTGCTAAATGAGCATATTTTTAAAACGTACTTAAATTTATGAGTGGTATTCACTGCATTTGCTTATTTTCCGGCCACTTATGTTGCATTATGGTATTGCAACTCTGACTGGCTGAAACAAACTTTCTGAGCACAGGAAAGCATTTCTGGCTGAAATAGAAAGGGCTTTTCACAAGCAAATACGGACATGTGCAGAAGCAGAATTCCTTCCCTGCTATTCATAGAAAAATCAATTTGTGTGAGTGCTGCTAGGAGAGTAAACGGGAGTGCACAAAATAAAATGATTCAGAATCTCATAGGATTTTTCCATTTATTTTTTCAGCTCCAGTAAGGGAATGCATTCATCAGTGTTCTTTATCTATCATATTGTATAATCTTTTTAATTGTTTCTAAAGATTTTAATGAGATATAAGGCTGTGTAATCTGTTACAGAAATGCTAGCAAAACCAATTGTACATCAACATTTTACTGTTCAAAAATCACCATTAGGTTTAGTAGAGTTCTTCCAGACCAGTTGTTTAGTTCCATGATGAAGAATTTGTCATTTTCACAGAACCTGTAGAGATTACATTTTATTTCAACTGTAAATTGGGAAAATGTTGCTCTCCTTTTATATTATTCACTGGGCAATTTGACATGTAGCGTTAGCATGACTGTTTTAAGCTGTTACTGTTATCCAACATATATTCCTGCTATTTTAAAACCAATATTTTTGGCTTAGAAGTAAAGGATGGATATTTCTGGACAGAAATATTCAGTATAATTTTATTATTCATTTTCAGAAATATTAAAAATGAACAGTGATGGCTTTATTCATTTCTTATATATGAGCTGGCATGTTTAAAAGCCATATATATATTCAATTTATTTCATTTTCTTTCATGGTGATAATAATTACAGCATTACACTAAACTGAGAAGAAAATACATGATTTATACGCAGTCTGAATATTTGTTTTCATAGCATTGTTATTATTGACTTGGTAATAACAATTGTGTATTCTGAGGAGCCACCTGAATATAAAAGCAGTGCTGGTGGCGTTAGCAATATTTTGTCCTATGTTATCATACTGAAGCAATGCCCAAGATATTAATGTTCTACCTGAAATCAACACCTTTTACCAAGTTCCACACAAGCTGCACGGATGGAATCCCTCTGAAAGAATTAAGCTGACATCATTTACAGAGGGCAGGGTCTGTGCACAGTGGGAGTATGAGATGATATTCAAGCTGATAACTAAACCTAACAATATGTATACTTTATAGTAATGCACGCTGTTTGAAAGTTAGGAAAATAAGCACTCATATGGCTGAAAAGCCTCAGAAAACAAAGAAGATAGAAGAATGTAATTGTTATAATGGAAACCATGCCTTAGATCCTGAAAGTAACACAAAGTCTTTTAAAAAAGTATTCTAAAATCTTAAAGCAATAGCAGCATACTGATCTGTTACATACCTCAGCAGGACAGTGCCACTATCCATACAAACTGTTATTAAGTATAAATCTTTCTATCCTAATTCCTCTGTGTATTTTCCATCAATAAAGTCCTACCAGAACATCAGATGGAAATGCATTATATCAGAAGGTAAAACTGAGTCAAGCCATCCTAGGCATTTACTGAGAAAGCATCCACACTTTCAGGAGTTGGGAGAAAATGACAGAGAAGATAAAATACAATTTACTGAACTAAACAAAAGGGTAAAAACTTAAATGGTTTAACACATCTCAAAACCAGAGATAAATCAGAGCTGGAATATCATAGACAAAAGAAACAAACAGCCTGATGATGGCCTATAAGGCTGCTCCTCACTTATTATATAGTTTTATTCAACTAATACCAAACTCTACCTCCAGCGAAACTCAAAATGCTCACTTAAATATTGATCAGGTCTCTAATACTTGTTGCTATTGATTCATGTATATATAAGCATATACACATATATAAATTTACGTTGTCTATGTATGGCTCTTAAGATAATTTGGATCAAGTAGCGAGTAATTCACATAAAGTTGTACCCTACTATAAAATGTAGTTCAATCTAAGGTTTTTGAAAGTGAATACGCAGGATGCTTGCATAGTTCACACAGTTACTGTCTAAACTTCTGTGTCTAACATACCCCAAATAAGGTGGATTTAAGTGTAAGCAAGGGATTCCAGTTCCAAAGGAATGAAAGACTTTTATGGGGAGTAAGGAAGGCCCAGGGCTCCAATGGGAGCTCTGCTTTAGCTCTGAGGCAGATTCTTTGCAGCACACATGACCTGCTTCTGCTTCTTCATCTTCTTGAGAAGATCATTTACATTTGGCTTCTATCTAATAATAGTAGACACACTGTCCATCATCATTACATATATTTTCTATTACTTTCACTGTAGCTGAGTGCAGGATGCTGTTTTTTTGTTTTTGTTTTTGTTTGTTTTTAGTTGCTATTCTGGATTTTTTTTTTCTTTTGAGTGTGTTTTCTCCTTGTACTAAATATTTCAAATGAGTGCCTAATGTTTTTGGATGGACAACAAAAGCAATGACAACACCTTTTACTATTTTTATAATTCTATAAATAAGGCTTCAAAAAACCCTAACATATTACCGGGCATTTTGTAGCACTCTGTACTATTTAAATCTCCTGAGAGAAATTGAGTAATATGAACATATTTTCCAGGGATACCAGCTGCAACAGAGAGAGCTTGCCCATGAGAGCTGTGAACCTTGCAATTGTCCACAGCTGTCAACACACAGCATGATGTAACAAAACAGGGCCCCTGGCGTGCTGGGGCTTCGGTTATGTCATATTAGGTGATGACAGGCATTCTGAAGTTGATTAGCATCTTATGGATCCTTCTCACATTTGGATATAACTGATTTTGTTTCTGTCTTTTAATGGCTCACTTAGCCATAGCTGGGATTGCTGGTTAGGGAGCAGACAATCTGACCACTGCATGGGCTTTAGTTCTGTACCTATCCATTTTGGTGCACCAGGATAGAAATTCTAAGAGCTAGCTCCCATTTTCTAACAGTTGTTAGAGAAGGTTGTGTTGAGCAAAATTATCAACTGGGTGTGGAAAAACGGTATTCTTTACTGACAGAATATAGGAACAGTGCTCCATCTCCTAGCATGTTTTATTTTCTTGAAGTTGCACAGCATTGCACTGATCAAGATAAGATTTTCCATGCAAATATATCAGTAATTTTTTCATCTTTAAAGATTCAACACTGCAGCACCTTGTTTAAGATGAGTGCTGTGTTTGTTTTGTTCCTTAAATGGGAGACATGAGTAGAATATAATGTGAAGAGAAGGCTTTAGAGAGCCATTTAAAACACTTAAAAAAAATCAGATTTTAAAATGATTTTTTTTTTTAAAGACCTAACATTCTTCTAAAATAACAGACAATTCATTTTATGTAGAGATGGGGCCTAATGGTTGGTATTTTCTCATAGAAATTCAAACTTCAGAGCCTTTTTTTCCGAAAGATGCACCATATACTTATTTCAGTTGTTGCTTGCAATGGTTTTTCATGTTTCTTTTCCCCTCTGACTTTCAGTTTCTGATAATTTTCAGATGTTTAAAGGATTTGAAAAGCTCAAGGATGTCCAGTATGTCTATACTCCCTTTGATTCATCACTCTGTGGAGTGAAACTAGAAGCAAACAACAAAAAACAGTACCTTTTGACAGGTAAAACACAACAAAATTAATGTGCATATTAAAAAAAAAGAAAAAAGTAACTGCTCAATGTCAAATTTCACTAACTTTGAAAAAAAACCCCTATATATTTCTGTGCTAATTAATACAAAAAGAATTAAATGGACAAGTTGTATGAAGTTGCAGTTAATGTGCAATCTTACATGTTTTCCATGCTTTATCTGAAGATCTTAAAACAGTTTCAGAGGAAGTTGAAGCCAGTAACTGTGTAGTTAGTAAATAGGAACTATGCATCACCATTATTCATTTAAAAGCAATAGTACCAGTTTTCCTATGAATGCAAACGTATGTAGTGAGACAACCCATACTTACATTATGCCACATTTGGTGTAGTAAGTAACTGCAGTTTTATACCTCTGGAGTCCTGTAATCTTGTCCAAGATATTAGCTCATTTACATCCATCCCTTATTTGCAGATTACCAGCATCTTTTGAGAAATGTCCTTGTTAAATCTTTAGCATCTATTCAGGAGGATAATTCTAACATTTTAAATAAAATTCACTGAAAAAACTGTGAAGTTTGACAAATTTGGTGCAATTAGTTACAAACTTTTGACTTCAATTTAGTTCAGTATTTAAAAAACTGTTTCATTTGCTTGCCTTATTTTCTTTATTTCCCATGCTGTAGGCCAGATTTTAAATGATGGTAAAGTCCTCATCCATTTATGCAACTACATTGAACCATGGGATGATTTATCCTTGTCTCAAAAGAAGAGTCTTAATCAGAGATATCAAATGGGCTGTGGCTGCAAAGTAAGTATGGAACAATATACTCCTTAGTAATGGAGCTCACCTTTCAGGAAAGAGCATTTTTCACTGGTGGAATACACCATGTATTTTACTGTTCTTTTAGAAACCTTCAATTTACTGAATTAATGTACTGTTTCATGTTTAGATTACTACCTGCTACATGGTGCCCTGCTCAATCACTGCACCAAATGAGTGCCTCTGGACAGACTGGCTGATAGAAAGAAAGCTATATGGGCACCAAGCCAAGCATTACGCCTGTATCAAGAGAAGTGATGGCACTTGCAGCTGGTACCGAGGTGGCCCTCCCCCAGAGAAAGAGTTTATTGACATCAGCGAACCTTAAAGTGATCACTTCCTAAAAAGCCTTGGAGTCTAATTCCATCAAAAATTGCACGCTCACAGCTTTGAACTGCTATCGTCTAATGTATCCATTGCTTAGAAACAAAAACAAATTGTCCTGTAAAGTTAAAGTATGAGTCTTTGGAATTGGCACTCAGGCAAGAAGAGGAACAAACCTCCCTGGAGATAGCTATTCCTTAAGTCCTGCTTTGTACAGAGAGGCTCAAACTGAGAATGCTGCTCTGTGTTTTATAAGGCATAACAAGTTTCCTTTTTTTACCAATATGAATGTATGAGAACATAAGAATGGTCAGAAATCTGTCCCTATTTCTGCTAACCTACAGATCGAAAAAGCTCCACATTTTATTTCAAATCATTCTGATGAATTAATGAATGTTTTATAGAACTATTTTTTTTTCCCATATGAAAGTCTTCTGATACAAAAGAATTATTGTACAGTGTATATGTAAAGTATTTTAACAATCTGCTATAAAAGATTCAGAAATCCCTGTTTTTTCCTTACCTTTTGAAACAAGTTGAACACTTCTGTGATTAAAACAATCTCTACTTCACATTTTGTTTGTTAATTATGTCACAGGTTTCTTTAACTAACGAGTTGTAACATTCATTGATAATTCAGTTAAAACACAAACTCGATAATCAAAATCTCAATATCCAACTCAATATTCTACAAGGTATAGCTAGTCCATAGGAAAGTAAAGGCAGATGTTCTAATGCTTCAGCATTTTATGGAATCAACACAAATAACAACAGGTGAAAACTGCTTACCCGTTTACAGAAATCACGTCCATCATCACTGCAGCTGTACTAATTAATAGTGCCTCTCTAATTACATGACTAGAACAATTTATTTCAGCACTGTTAAAGCCTTGGCTTCAGAAACTCACATAAAAGTAAATGCACAAGATATTTAATAACTTACACTGCAAGAGATTTCTAAAAAGCTCTCAAATATTTGAGCATATTTAATTATAAATCAAATTTACATTAATAATTTCGCATTCATGAATGCTCATTGTAATTTGTCATAATGAGTTGTCAACTTGTGAACTTATCCTAGAGTTACAGCAGTTTGCCTTCAATTTTTTTTTAGGGCTTTAACTATTAAGAATTGATTACTGTAGTTAGTAGCCAGTCTCACACATATATAAGTTTACAAAAGCATCTCAATTCACAGTGGTAAAACTGCAGAAGTTATCTCATTCAGAGCCAAAGTTTAGACCACTGTTAAAGTAGTGCTCATGTTCTAGAAACTGGATGAGAACCATGATCCAAGTTATGGGTCCTATGTTTTAATCTAATTTTCTTTATTGGGTTTCTTGAAAATCATTCCAATTTTGCCTATGGATTACTCTCTCATATTACTCACATAGAAATTTAGAACTGCAAACGTTGCAAAACCAACAGGAACACTCAGCATTATTCCTTTGGGGAGAGTTGCCTATGTCCCTTAGTAGGGACATAAATGTTGCCTGTCATTTTTATTTACAGTCCTAAGCTAAAACATCATACATTTGTGTGCCAAATACAACTCCAATTTAGTTTTCTGTTTTGCTGAAGACGAACAAAAAATTACCAGTTGGGCAGTTTTGGCCATTGACACACATGTGTGCACACAACTACTTACCTGAAGGAAATATGAAGGCCACTTTTCTTCCAACTGATATTGCAAAGACAACATTGGCAGTGCTAATTGCTGCTAGTGCTGTGCATTTATATTAACAGTTCACAGACAGATTGAAAAAAAGAAAAAAACAGCAACAAAAAAGCCAGGCATAAATTCCTCCTGTCAAGCCAAAACAATTCATAGACAAGTCTGCAAAAGCTTGATAACGATACAAAGTCCAAATCAAGCACATGGCTAGTTAATATTTCACACATGGACAACATAGCATTTGTTTCCTAAAGTATTTTGATGTAATGGTGCATTTTGAATATCACTCAGCAGAAAACAGATATTTTCTGCTTTTAAATGAAACATAGTTCTGTCTCTTTTTCAGTTTTATAATAAGTAGACCTTAAAACTGAACTAACCAAACTCTCATTTCTTCTTTGTAGACATTGTAAAAATAAATGTTTTCTTCAGTATTTATGAACAAACTATAACATGAATTGTATGTTATAATGAGTTTTTAAAATGTTTTATATTTGATCTGCCATAAAGTGTCCAATATGAAGTGTTTCAAAATTATTGGCTGTCCAGTTTGATTTCTGTCTGAACTCAAATCTTGCCAAACTTTCCATAATGGATGATAAAAAAGATGGTTTTTTTTTTCATATCAATAAATATTTCAAGAAAAGATTTTAAGAAAAGCAAATCCTCTCAAAATGATTTCTTATTTTCCCTGAAAAACTGATAAAGATTATGAAAAAGATTAAGTAGTGCTGATTTCTGGATCTCACTTTCCTATATACAGATTTATTTTTTACAGCAGTGGCATTGGTACATGTTGTTAGGAAGGTCAGAGCAGAAATACAGCCTGGTACAACATTCTATTTTAATTTGAAAATGACTCGTGACTGACAATTAGAGAAAAGATCAGGTGAATGCTGGAAAAATAAAATCCTTAAATATTGCTGTTTTTTTTCTTTTAACACAATGTTTTAGTTAAGTTTTATTAAAATGCCCAGCAATTACAGTGAAGAATTTTTTTTCCTGATATAACATAGGAAGTGGGAATGTAGTGAAATAAAGGGAGCTAATTACTGAGGGAAAAGCTGTAAATATGACTCAACTAGCAGTGAGTTCAGAAAGCTTAACAGCATTTTGTATAGTTCTAATCAATTTGAGATGAATGTTTCTGTTTCAAGAAGTGTTTCTTTAAAGCAGCTCCAGTTTTACACAAAAGAATGGCATCTTTGTTTATTTACCTTTTACTGCTGCCTGAAGACTCGGTACAAACGATCACCAGAGTATGAAAGAAACGAAAAAAAAACAAAAAACAGAAGCACAACTGGCATGCTCAGCCAAAAACTCAATTCACAGATCTGCAGTTTTCCCCTGCTCTCCCCCTTCCCCCTCAGTGGGTTGAACTGGATGAAAGGAACTCTAGCTTGCGATTTGGGGGATAAAACATGAATGAATGAGCACAAAAGGAACTACAAAAAGTTAAACAGTAAAAATCAAATTCTGTAAAAGTAAATGCAAACAAGACAGGCCATAAATAGTATTTAAATAAAAATTCAAATAGCATATTATTTCAATTTATTAACTAAGAAACTAATGATATTGAAATTATTTTACCACCTATTCTAGAAATTCAAATAAAAATGCTATCTCATGCGATGCTGCCTGATTATTTTTAAAGTCACAAAGTTCCCAGAATTTCATCAGAAGGCAAAACCACACAAATGATCTTCAGCATAATCATATATTATAGCATATTTGAATGACATATGGCAACGCAATACTGAAGCAGAGAATAATTTCTCTAGATTAATATTCATTGCATAGAAAAATATGTAAAAAATTTACTCAAATGTGGAGAGTAGAGGTATTCAAAAGTTTGAACAAAAGACAAATAACTTGTGAGTTCAGACATTAATAAGCAGCAAAGAGGACAAAAATACCCAAAGGGAAGAAGGGAAAAAACATCCCAACTTTTTTCATAGTCTGATAAACAAGCAAAATATGTCAAACGAATGCATAAGTCTTCTTCTTGGTGTTTTATTACAAAATTTCAATTCAATTAGTCATTGAAAAATAGTGTGAATTGCCTCTATCAAATAGTGTTATTGTGCCTTTGGTATCTGTTGCGGTTTCTACTTAATTAAATAGGAGACATTACATTCAGAGTTTCTTAGTAAAACTAAGAAATACCTTAAAAGGTCTGTTTTTTCAATAGGACAATGACTAGTAGCTGATAAAATAATGAAGAACAATTACTTTTGTGCAGGAAATTATAGAAGAGCATTAATTTAATTCTAAGATTAGATTGATTAGATTCTAAGAATAATAGGAGATATAAAATGTATAGCATTAAAGAAGACATATTGCAGAACAAAAGAGGTGGTTCTACTTCTCTACCTACTACTAATGTATCCCAAGACATAAAAATATGCATTTTATGGAACTTTTTCCTGACAAACCCATCAACAGAAACATCTTTCAATTCCCAAAGTATTGACTATACAGAATTAGATCTGCTGCTCCATATCAGTAACCACTCTCATTTGACTGCACAAAACTTCTGTGTAGCAGATTTCCTAAATACACATGTGTAGCAATGGCTCTTTTCCTCAGTATCTTATTCAATAAAAGACTAACATCTGTGAGTCAATAGTCCAAAGAGACCAGAGAGGAGGACTGGATAAGTCTGAAGTGCCATCTATGATGATGGAGTCCTAATCAATATCAAAATGGACAAAGCAATCACAGCTTGAGGATCTTAAATAAACAGCTAACTAATGCATTTATCAGGATGTTGCAGCGGTACCTGATACACTCGAATCTCAGCTGTGCAATAGATGGTGAAGGGCAAGATCAGGATTATATACTAAAAATACTTGATACCTCCATACAACTTTATACCCTCTCTCAGGGAAGGTATTTCCCCTAGAAAAAAATACTCAGGTAAGAATTTCTGTTTAGAAAACACATGAAAAAAATACGAATGTGTCCAGCGTAAGATGTGTTTTCTTTAGGTTATGTGGATTCTGCATATGCAGGCACAAAAATAATCACAGTTGCACATTCATCAGCAAGAAACTATGCTTACATCCTGCCAGACCAGTTTCGAAAAAACAGTCACACTGATGCACACTCTTCCAATCTATCTTCAAAAACAACTTGAGGACAAAGGAAACTACTTCCATCTAAAGATTGGAAATTTGTAGGGTAATTTTATTTTGGGAAAAGGTTAAGTGAAGCTCACAAGTGTCACTTTAATGAATATCTTTATATGTGTAAAGTGCTGGAAATCAAACAATCTCAGCTCAGGTACATGAACATGTAAGTCACAAACACCCTAATTTTGGGTAAGTTCAAAGGTCTACAGTTGTAGGCACATCATCTAGATAAATAATGAAATGACTCTTCAAATATATGTTAAAGAATTAGTTTGAAGCAAAACATAAAAGTAACCCTTGCACTTTAATAGTTGTTCTGTGTTTTTACAGCCAGTTAATTTCTTGAAGTCTTAGGCTAATTAGTTGAAAAAATGTTAGCCTTTAGATCTGAAAATCTTCATTTAGCCACCACAGTGCTTTCAAGTGATCACCACATCTCATCCCTCTGAAAGTTACCAAAATAACCTTTAAAATAGATAGTAAATGAGAAATGGATCATGTGCGTTTACAGTCACTATTTAAAGAGACAGGTAACTAATGTAGTACTGGTTCTTGTACATACCATTTCCTTGTGGTTTGGATAGAACGTTTGCTCAATTAACGGGAACTTCTCCGGTCCCAGAGTTTTGTAGACAGACACCAGCTGGGCAAACTGTAAAGCAAGGCAAAACAGAATCTCAGGAGACCAATCACATTCTGCTGAAGGGTTCTTATACCATCGCCTTGCTCTTGGTCTTCTGTATTTCATAAACTCAGCATAAAATACACAAACAACATCTAATTTCTCTCACTTCTACACATCTCTTTAATCCACCCAAGCTATGACATCTTATACAAAGAAAAAAAAGAACATTATCTCTAAGAGTAAACCGTCACACCTACATGAAATGAAATAATTTGGAATATTGATTTTCAGACACCTCATATTCTGCATATTTTAAGCTGACTTTGTGATGAAGTCATTATAATACTGCATTTCCTACCATCTTCAATCCAAAGATGAAATATGTTTCACATTAATTTATCTTCTGGCACTTCAGTGACACTGAAAGGCAATTTTGCAAAATTGGAAAGCAGAGAAAAGCAATAACTAACCATGTGTCATATACAAGTCAGATGAAGAGGAAACAAGAGAATTTTAATTTCCTAGGCTCTAGCTATGTACCTTAGCCACATAGCCATTCTTCCACTGTCTTCGATCAACAGTGATGCTGATAACTTAAACAGTTATGTGTTATTGGCTGTTCTATTAACTTTTTCTCTCTGGGCCCTTTCCTCAATGCATACCCACTTTACCTATAATGTAGACAGTAGTAAGAACACAAAAAGCCAAGCAATATTTAAACACAAAAATGCAATCTTTTATTAAATAGAAACATATTTAAGGGCTGTTCTCTTTAGTGAGCAGATCAGCTCTTCTGCTCTAACAGTTCAAAAACCCAAACCTCTTGAAATTACAGCTTAGCAAATGAGGTTTCTAGGGAGCAAGATGACTTTGGCAGTCAGAAGACCACTATTGTTTCAAGACTCCAAAGCTCTGGCTTGTACATGCCCATGATGTGTATAGTTGTCATTATGCCAACATGAGGCATAAACAAATTAGCGCAACAATTTGAATAGCGGGATTTGCTGGTTACAAACAGGAAAAAAGCAAAGAACAATACAAGTCTGTCTGTGATGCGGTATGATCAAATGCTCTGTTAATGCAATTGAGGGTGAAGGGATAGTAAAAACCATTTAAAGGGAAAAAAAATGATGAAAGCTTTGCATTGCATATCCAGCTGGCATAAAAAATTTGTTTAATTTAGTGGTGTTTACTTAGGTTTGGTAAAACACATATTTAAATTTTGAAGGCCAGTGGAAAATACCTTAACGATGAATAGTTTTAACCAGAAACCTAAAAAATTCTAGTTGGATACGTGCTGTAGAAAAAAGACCTCAAGGAAAGGAAATATTATCACAGCTACCAAAATAAGGTGGTTTGCGAATAGAATTCCTGGCAACTTCTATTTATTCCTGTCCTTATCCAAGATCCAAATTTAAAATTTCGTGATGAAATACTGTCTATTACATACATGATTTTAGCCAAACCATTATGTTAAAATAAATCATCTAGCAATAAATCTACCCTTATGTAAAATTCTTTTTTAAAAAATTATTCATAGGATTTCCTGTAATTCTTTCCTGATTTTTTTTTCCCCATTTTTACTGAAAGATGATGAGAAAAATGACACTCTTTATGGAGATAATGACGTTCATCCAAGACATAAGAAAACTGTACTTTATATCAATGCTGACAAATGTTTACTTACTTAAAATAGTACTAACCACACATAATATACATGTATCACTCTGAAGTACATATAATCTAGTAGTTAAGCTATGGAATAGCACATAGGAAAAGTAGGTTTAAATTCCCTGAGGCAGAGAATATAAACGAAGTCAGATACCCCCACAAAAATGGGGGCTGATTTACC